GCGTCTGTCAGCGACACGATCATAATCATAAACCTTCGGTGATGCAAATGTAGCAATTCTTGACACATTGAAGAATCCAGCTCGCGAAAACAGCGGAAGGAAACATTTGTTTTCTAGGTTTAGGAAAACCGAAGTTTTGCATATGCTGACCCACAAGTAATGTCATTTTGTCCGCAGTTAAAAGGCCATTAAACGAAGTGTTTGTGACTGTAATGCTCCCATTCCCCTTACCATAGCTGATGAGCGTCTTTCGGGTACCTGGAAAGACATGCTCTTTTCTAGAATTGACGAACTCAAAATCTGACGAGAAGGACAGCGAATTACGCGCTACTCATTTTGCTGCAACTCATTGCACAATTACAGTAGAGTGGTGCCTAAGTGAAATATTTTTCGTACGAATCACTACTTCGTCACAGTTAATGAATTTACTCGCTTTCTTATGTCCTCGTGCATTTATTGACCAAAGGTTGAAATAGTCAAAACGTGTGGAGAGGAGTAGTGCTGCCAGGAAGCCAATTGCCCAGAGGCGGAACTAGTCCTATCGGCATGGAACGGATTCACTCTTGTATTACTTCACGCTGTTTAATTCGGTAGCGATTGGTAACACCTTCCGGTCAATATCAGCAAACACCATTCCCATTCATCAAAGCCAATTCGTAAGCACTACAAAAAGCTTTCATTTTGCCCTCCAAAATACATGCATGTGATGACCATACCTATCATCCTTAACGTTAACACAGTGTTGAGGAAGGAGCGATATTATAAACTTAGCTGATGCTAGTTTACAAGTGCCACCGGCAGCTGTTATCAACTGAGACGTCACGCTTCTGACATGGAGCTCCATGACCAAACATCCTGATCACATCGGAGTCTCCAACCGGATAATCACCAAATGGAGGCTTGAAAGATGATGTCTTTAGTGACCCAAGTAATGCGTTCGCAAGAGTGGCACGGTCAGCGTGAACGAAGTGTACCCTGTAGCCATGCAGCATTCGTATATTTTCAAACATTGTGTGCAAAAGACTGTCAGAGAAAGTGCTTTTGAAATTGATCAACCCACATTAATTGAATAGATGCATCGTGCGCGTTTCTCCGTTACTTCCAATGAGGACGACATTTTATGCGGATGAATACATTCGCATTCATAACATACGTCACGAATCGATTTCCATGCTGCCAACGATTTGCATGCCACATTTAAATCTCCCTCTATGCTTTTCAACTAACATGGACGGAAATAGACCTGGAGAATATCTGGACGCCATCCTACTACGGAGATGAAGAGGATTTCGCGAAGGAGCAGAAGGACGTCAGTGCAAATTGGGCCCTCTTCTCCACGAAGGACGGACGTCTCCTGCTGAAGAGGGGTCCACATGGCAAATCCTACTTCGTAAACGGTCAATATGAAGTCGAGATGAATGACCATGTTGTCACAGGAGAGTTGCTCTCTGAATTTATTGAGAACGTGCGAAGGGCGGTAAGACTGTGAGTTTATTGTCTGACCGCTATTACTGATTCACTGTAGGAGTGCGATGCAGATGAGGCGAATCAGCGCAAATGCGCATCACTCATTTACTACAAGGACTTGAAGCGTTTTGCAGGCTCCAAAGAAATTGAACCATTGGTGAAGAAGGAAGGTGCTAAAACCATAGGAATGGGTGAATTCGGTGAGGTTACGCTGAGAACCTATCCGGAAGAGGGGAGTCGTCATTGTGACGTGAGTTCTACTGCATTCGTCAGCACCATGAGGCTAGAATTGCCTTGATGAGTGGACGATGTACTTGGTCTGTTTAGCAGGTGCAAGTAGCAACGTGAATAGCACATGTCATGCAAATGTAGGCCCCAAAATGCGCAGCAATGAGGGGAGTGCTTTGTCCACTTCCAAACGGAAGCAAACGGAAGATAGGATAGAGGAGGGACTGAAAGGTGACCGCGGCTAGATTACCAGTCTGTATAACAAAGTGGTCAATGAACATCATCCGCTGGACGAGAACAGTCACATTGGTGCAAAATATGTCCAACAGGAGTTAAATGGGGGAGTTGATAGGAGTAGTGGCCATCAACACAAAGACATTCTCATTTTCTTTACACGCATTACGATGATGGCAAAAGTATGCAAAGAAGAAGCATATGCCAGTAGGGTCACAAATACACCCTACTGACCCCGCACATTCGTAGCACCCAACAATGTGCAATAGGACGCATGACACTTAGTGTTAGATGTTGTAGTGGCGCAGCAGCCAGCCTGCTTGCAGGTTGAACAATACAGTTTCTGGTGTCACCTCGACATCCCACACATTGAACTAAGCGAGGCAATGTCTGCATGATCAGTGATAAAATTCCGGCTCATTGGTAGGCCAATGACGAGACACCGTCGAGGCAGGTGGCGGTGAAGCGAATCAAGCAGACATCCAGAAACGCACTCGTGGGTGCCATGGAAGTGGCAGTGATGTGCGCCATCCTCGAGGACTCAAACATCAGCGTGCAGCATCTACTGCCTCTCATTGGGTGGTACTTGGATGACGAGGACCTCTACGTGGTGACTGAGTTCATGCCTGGTGGCAGCTTGTTGGATTACCTCCAGTCGCTGAACTTGAAAGGGGAGGAGGAGGTGGGTGAGGAGGAGGTCCATAAACAGCGTCTCGAATTGCATCGGTTTGTGGCTGAAATTGCCAGTGGCATGTGTGCTCTCGAGGCCAAACAAATTCAGCATCGCGATCTAGCAGCCCGTAATATTCTCCTCACTCAACATCGCCAAATCAAGGTATGCTGCTCCTAAATACTTTCAGTTAACAAAAATGCTAAATTGAAGTAGGCAGATTTGAAACTCTATCGTTAAATACATTATCGTTCATATAGATAATCTCCTATGTGGTCTAACTTCATATCATGCAGCTCTCACTTCTGCATATCTCGTCTAAACACAATTTTACTTTCAAAACCTCACCTTCGCTAATCACTGATTCAGTGAGCAGTGATCAGTAGTCAAACACACTTAAATGTCAGATTATTCGAAGTAGCTCCACAGTGTTTGTGAGTAGAGTATTCCGCGTAGGTGAAGGGGTGGTAATGAAATGGAAATCTCAGATGGACAGAATTTCATGCTATGTGAGCACAGCCAAATTGGATGCCACCTCTACTGCCTCCTCTACTTCCACAGATTGGTGATTTCGGACTGAGTCGGCCTGATGGCTCTAAGTTCACCTGTGGTCGAATATCAACAAGGTGGACAGCACCGGAGGTGTTGCAGAACGAGGCCGACTTCACGCTACGCTCGGATGTATGGTCCTTCGGTGTGGTGATGTGGGAGATCTACAGTCTTGGCAGTCTACCATACAGTGAGGTGCCGAGTCGGGAGCTGTTGAATCACCTCCACAGCGGTCGGCGATTGGACCCACCATATGCCACACCGTCCAGAATAGCCAAACTTATGAATATGTGTTGGCAGATGTCTGCTCCTTCCCGTCCCTCATTCGTCGAAATTGACCTTTTTCTGCATGGACTCCTAATGCGTCAAGGTTCTGATGCCCCTTTTACGGTGCCACCTCCTCTTCCTGCAAAAATATTCTCACCGCCTGCCAGTTCTCCACCGCCTTCTTCTTATATCGAGCTCTAATTTTGATCAACTACCAATTAGCTGGAAAGTATTCGACCTTATCAATGTCCTTAATAATCATTGTGAAGACTGATTAAAATGATTTCGACTCAATTATTTACAGACCTTAATGCTGGTCTTCTTATCCTACTATGAAATTGTACGTTAGTTGTTGATTTTGTTATTCTTACTTTTAATCTTTACTTTTTTCACAATTCTGTTTGACTGTGGGTGCGTGTATGCCCTTAATCTTTAATATGATAACGGAAGTTTAGTTAATTTATTTCTTTTGGGGTCGCTATCCAAGATGCGCGACTGTTGCGTTTACGTGATCATGGAGGCTGCTGGGAGCTGATCAGAACATTCGAGAGACTGGGACTTCGGAACCGGTGTCTTCAGTGCTGACAAAGAAATTTGACACAAATAGGATAAAAGTCGAATTTCTGGATAAGTTTTACCACTATTAAGGCAATTTTAGAGCCTGGTGATTGGCCAGTAATCATCCTGGTATTCATAGTGATCTACAATAGTGGAGAGAGCACACGCTCAAATTTTTGTTGTCATCTTCATCTCTGACATCAATTGTCTGTACCGTTTGACTGGACGGAAGGTTAGATTAAGTCTTTGGGAGTTCTCTTCTATAATCTCGCTTAGGTCTTTGGAACAGGCAACAACTAAACACGGGTTTGTTTGAACTTTGCGCATTATAATAAAAGAAATTCCTGTAAGAGGAAACATGTATATTATATACGTCTACCAGCTAACGACGACTCAGAGGGATAATTCCTTTAGTAAATACACATCTAACACTCCAATGCAACATCAGTCGCGTTTTTGGCAAAAAAGCGGTTGCCGTCGGACGTGAGAGTTCGAGTTATGTTGGTACCACTAAGATTTCCTCCAAGATGAACTTACCAGTGCACAAATGGATTAAAAGAATAGGGGGTAAAGGACACCTACTTAAGTCTTTTACCATCCTATTGGTTTGTAAACCAAGCCACACACCAATTTACCGATCTGTCGAATATGATATTGCGGATGCTTGAGGGGTAAAGCTCCTAAATTTTACTAGTTTTTCAATGGCCTTTAATATATTTTTGGTGCACCAAATGCTTTCTCCATTTGTTAACGTTCTGGAGTTTTTTGGGCATGAATTACAGCAACTAAACCACTCAATTATTTTTTTACTAGCTACTCATAAAATTACTTTTGACATTTTAACAGGTAAACGGGAGGAAGCAGAGTTGGAACTTTAATGGAATGCTCCCAAAACATTTGGCTCCTTTTAGGAAAATTCCAGCAAATACGAGTAAAATCTGTTTGAGAAGAAAGGTGTATGAAGTGGATGGCTAAATCAGTTAGACACGCAAGCAAAGGATAGAATGCACTCCAGCCATTGGCAAATATTCAATTCTCAAATTTTGTATTACTTGTATACTTAAACTGACCACCATTATTTTTAAGTAAGGAAATACACAACAATTCGTGTGTGCGAGAGATTAACACATGACATATTTCTGCAAAATGCACCTACTCATTTCTTTCGCGCACAATTCGTAGTAAGCATTTCATCATGGATGCATTTCTTAAGCTGTTTGCTCACAATAAGGGGTGGAAAACTGTCCTTCTTTTAGCTTCCGCAAATTTTAAAAACAACCGCAAAATCCACTTGTCTATATTTTTTGTAATGAGGGGACTTATTTTGCCGAGTTAATAAACATCTTTGCAGTGGAGTTGAGATTTATCTTAACCGGCGTTTGAGATTGTGCAAACCGGTTTTAAACTCAAATACACACACATATGAAAAACTTCTTTCGTAAAAAGGCGATTAATGAATTTGACTTAACTGCTTAAAGCAATTCCGGAGAAAGTACGCCTTAAGAGCTATTCTTTAACCTAATTCAAATGGAAGACCTACTCAATCACTAATCTACCCCCCATAAGATTCATTGTGTAGCCAAGTAAAAGGTAGTTAGGTGAAGTGAGCGTCCGTATGATCGCACAGAAGTCAAACACAAGGATGCAGCATCCCCTAGCCTTTATTATAAACGCCACCCCATACAGTTTCAGTCGTTCCTTACTTCAATAGCGGAACGCAGAGGGAAGGCGATACTGACAGTCGTTGGTGTCCATTTTAAGGATGCAAACTGTCTTGTGCGAATTTAGACTACTACAGAAAGTGTTCCTGTACATGTTGCAAAAGATCAAAGTGGAGTTCAATTTTATACGAACACGGCATTCAAACTAAGGATTTTTCCTTATAATGCTTTTAGCCAGAAATGGTAAAATTGGACCTAAATACCTAGCGGATGGGAGCTACTCTGAAACTCTCAGGATTAGAAAATTGAACTTTAATAGTATTCACTTCAGCAGAGGGACTAAGTAAGCTTAAACTTGAAACTTCACAATTTTTAAATCTGGTTTGTTGAAGGAAAAGACCAACAATAGCCTACAAAAAGCCCGTCTATAACATCCAACAAGGCAGAATTTTAAGCGAAATCAAGTTTTGGTTGTTAACAGATACTTCAAGATAATATTTAAAAAACTCCTAGTTTGCATACGTAAATTTTGCATCAAGACACTGGTACTACAAAGAAAGTTCCGAACTTATGAATGTACAACCTTGATTAATTAGAAAGTACATTTTCAATAAAGTTATTTATATCTGCGAAATTGTTTGAGCAAAAAGAGGGCGTAAATGAAGAATGTTAATCCACCTAAAACCAAGGTAATTGTAAAGTAAAGCATTGTGTAGCAAAGAAGTTCCCTCCATAGCTTGGATTAACTTTTAACACCTGCATAGACGATTGCCAGATTGTGTGTGCATAAAGGTGGTGGTATTTGGGAGCATTCCCATCGGTTAATTCATCATGGAGACATGAGAATCGGTTAAACAGCCTGCCTAAGTGCACG